CATGAAAACCAACATGTCTGCTAATAAAAACTCTGCCAGACTTGGGCTCCAAACAACGATAACCTTTAAAACCGGATGCATAACCAATGAAAACACATTGGACAGAACGTGGAGAAAGTTTATTTGAAGGAGAGGCAGAAAAATTTGGATAACACGCACACCCAAAAAACTCGTAAAAAACTATAGTCAGGAGGTTTTTGAAAAAGAAGATCGTAAGGAGAAACACCATTAAGTGACGGAGTAGGGAGTCTATTAATAATATATGCAGCTGTAAAAATAGCATCAACCCAAAATGTGCTAGGGATAGAGTGTAATAAGCATAGTTCTAGCAAATTACAAAAGGTGACGATGTTTGCGTTCCAACACCGTTTTGTTGAGGAGTGTGTGGCAAGATTTTTGAAAATAAATGCCATGTTCATCAAAAAAATTCTGCATATTAGAATTAACAAATTCACCTCCTCCATCACTTTGAAAAATTTTAATTTTAGAGTGAAATATATTTTCAACTAAAGCTTTAAATAAACGAAATTGATGAAAGACTTCACTTTTAGTGCGCAAGGGATATATCCAAGTAAATCGAGAAAAATCATCAATAAAGCACACATAATATTTAAAACCTAAATTAAACAATACAGGGGATTGCCAAACATCAGAATGAATTAATTGTAATGGTGCAGAAGAAGTATGGCTAGCATCCGAAAAAGGTAATCGTTGAGATTTACCCAAACGACAAGAAACACAATCATGTTCGAAATTAGAAGAACTAGAGATAAGCTTTCTACGATGTAACAAACGTAAAATAGTTTCACCACAATGACCTAGTCTACGATGCCACTGACGAGCACTTTGTCACGGTGCGTCAAAATAAATCCAATACTAAACACTTATACGTAGTATAGCGTAGTAGAGTTCGTATCCACAGGGAAAGGAATGATTTTCTTTTTATGAAACTAGTAATTAAAAAGGGGGGTTTTGGTTTTGAGTGATTTAATTCAATTAAGAAACTAAGATGAACAACCTATATGTGTTTAATTCAAGAATAAAAAGGACTTGGCTTTGCTACTTTCCACTTGTTGATATATTTTAGTTGATCCTTGTTATATCTATAACTTATCCCCTCTCGAATACTCAATCGAGGAGTATCTCCAATTCATCGAGGGTAGTTATTAACAACGACCGTTCATTAATAACCCTTACTATTAATCAAATATAGAACAACGCCGTATACCGATATAATAGTAACATTCAATCTTTTTAACTCCTTGATGAAATCAATTGAGATTGATAACCTTAACACAACGGTTTCGGTTTAACCAACGAAATTGATCCCTCTTAAGTCTATTAATCACGACCGTGCATTAATAAACCGAAGTTACTTACTTGTGAAACCACCAACGATTAACCATCGGTTCGTTGATCGTTTCTAGTAGTAATTAATGTCGGAACGTTAACTAATCGTCACTTAGCAACCCTCCAACATTAATATAAAATGAGATTAAGGGAAGAATTAATAATCAAGAGAAGAAGTTAAGAAAATAACTCACAACTTTAATGATCAACAAGCTTCAAGAGCAAAACCAAGAAAGGAAGTTTAGCTCCTCATTTGGAGACTAAACATAGCTAGAAAATATAAAGAAAGAGCTTGTCTAAACTGAGCTAAGAAGTATATGTTAATTGGTGATTTTTGTGGGAAGGAAAAGGGGGGTATTTATAGGCTTTTTAGGCTTGCAGGGTCGTGTACCCGATCGGGCTGTAAGGGCACTCGATCGGGTACTAGGTTGCTTCGCGGAAATATAAAAAAACTAGGTTATACCCGATCGGGTATGTCGGCCACCCGATCGGGTATGAACACTCGATCGTGCCAAAATCTCCCCTGCACGTTGCCTTGTCCCGGATCCGATCCGATTTGATTTTTCAACAAGGTACCCGATCGGGTATAGGTCATACCCGACCGGGTACAACACCAAAAATCAGAATCTTGAGATTTGTTGCACCTTCCTTCCATTTGTGATGTTCACCAATGGTCCCTAGAGTGATCTTGGACCTGTTTGAGCTCAGTATAAACCTAATCTAAACAAATTACAAACATTTTTACAACTAAAACTATTACACCAAAAGTGTGTAATTTCCAAGGTAATAATCAATCTAAACTAATAAAAAAACATAAACGTAAACATGGAAATTACATGAATGTCAGCCACACAGGGCCAGAGATAGTAATAGAAGCTAAAGCTAAGGATGCAGTCGGATTGAGGCTGATAGGATAAAGATGGCCATTATGACGCGCCTGAAGAAGAACCGCCCCCGAAGTTTTGTCCTTTACAAAAAAATAATTTTTATCAAAAACAGCAACACAGTTGTTATCAGCACATAATTTTTGAATGGAAATTAAATTGAATTTAATTCGAGACACATGAAAAACAGATTTTAATGTCAGCAGGCGACTAAGAGTATTTAAAGTAATATTTCCAACATTAGCAATAGGAAGTTTGGTACCATTCGCAACACTGACAGTCATGGAGCCAAAATAAGAGGATTTATTGGACAGAATACCTTCAGATGAAGTCATGTGAGCAGATGCACCAGAGTCGGGATACCACAAAACATCGTTTGATTCCCCAGTGGGAGCAACCAAAGCAGGTGCAGAAGCCTGTGAAAAACGAGATGAACAAGGCACCGCAGAGTGACCTGCAGAGAAATAAATTTGACACACAACAGGAGGAGGGTCTGAACCAAGAATACTCTCAGTTGACGGGAAATCTGCATAATGATAGTGAGTACCAGAAGTAGATTTAGCATTAATATTTAAAGTGGACATGATAGATTTACCAGACGGTGCATTGTTTGGTCTCAGAGGGTACACACCCCCTGCGGCTGATGGTCCTGGTGCGGCTGCTGCCCCTGGTGCGGGATAGGGAAGCTGCCCAACCTCAGGAGCTGGCTGGTATACATGCTGGTGCGGGTGACGACCCCTGCCGCGGCCCCCTCTGCCCCGTGCGCCTCTGCCGCGGCCTCCCCTGCCGCGGTATGCGTGTGGTTGGCCCGGTGGGCCCTGCTGGCCGGGACCAGCTTGCGCCCCAAAAGCTTGCTGCAAGTTAGAGGATTCCTGATGGCGCTGATGAAGGACACGTTGTTCCGCTTCAAGTAGTCTATGGTGAAGAATTTCAGGTGGAAATTCATCTGGGAACATGGATATAGTGCCCACAACAAACTCATACTCAGGGCCTAGGCCTAATCCATACAGGGTACTTTGCAGTAATTCTTTATTAGTGAATTTATTGCAGCTAAGGCATCAGCTAAATTCTTAATATCCAGTAAGTATTGTTCCATAGACTGAGTGTCCTTCTTTTTAATGGAATTCAAGGTACGCTTAAGTGCCATGGCTCTAGGTAAAGTAGCAGACATAAAACGTGTTTGCGAACGATTCCATATACCAGCTGAATGTTTAATATCATGCACATCAGTTAATACGTTCCGAGTAAGTAGCAAACAACCAAGAACGAATTGTTTGATCTACCCTAAGCCAATGATAATAGTCGGTATTAATGATTTGCTGATTATTAAAATTCACTGTGTACCTGAATGGATCCATCAACGATTCCAAAAAGTCCCTGAGACACCAAAAAGGATTCGAATTGAGTGCGCCAGGTGAGGTAATCTTCAACAGCTTTTAGCTTTATGGTGACAATTTGGCTGACATTAACTCCATGAGATATGGACTGTGCCAAGAATGCCATATGAGACCCTGAGAGAAGATTGTCGTTGACCGGCTGTGTGACTCCCGGCGAGCCAGCAAAAGAGGGTCCAAAAAATTGAGTGTTCGCCGGTGCTGAGAAGGAGGTCTGCGGCGGGAGGCTGTTGAAGACCGGGTGCGTCTGAGGCGGTGACCAGAACGAAGAGGAGACGTCCGGTGCTGAGAAGAAATTCTGCGGCTGCGGCGTTGGAGGAGGAACGGCGCCTGAAATTGGATGGGGCATCGTCGTGGTGTGAGAAGCAGCAGACAAGGGGATGGAGATGGGTTCCAGCGAAGAATTTGTGGCCGGAACAGAGGTTTCTGCCGTCGTGGTGGAGGCCATTCTCGGCTGCGGCGGAAGAAGGATAGACGTCGTGGTATCTAAACCCTAGGCTCTAGATACCATGTGAGATAATGGGAAAAGGTACTCCAACAGGAGTCCTGACCTGTATATTTTTAATAGAAGAGTTTAAAACAAACTAGGAAACAAATCTTCCTAATAATATTCTATTATTTAATTGATGCTTTTTTTTTCTCAATATTAATAATTTTCCTAATTGTCTGTTGATGATTTTTTTTAAAAATATAAACCTATATGTTTGGTTTGAAGGTGGATGGAAGGAACCTGTCACATTATTTTAACAAAGAAACGTAGGAGATTGCCTTTCTGATCTGATACTCTCCCTGATCTCAATCTGTGATATTGGTGGTGCAGATTGTAAATGATGTCTTCTTTAGTGTAAAATATAAGGAGTATGAATTGTGATTTTTGGGTTTTTTGTTTATGGTGCCTTGTTCGTTTAGTTTCTTCTACTTCATCTTATCAAGCAAGCTCCAGATCTCATTGCTGGTATTTTTCGTGGGTTTGGGCATTTCAAAACTAGTATACAACAACAACATCCAAGCCTTAATCCCAAAAGAATTTGAGGTCTGCTAACATGAATCGATCTGTGATATCGATGCCAAACAAAGAAGATAGGCAAGAAGGGGAAAAAAGTAAGATAAAACGGATAAAATAAAGAAATAAATACTACGTATAAATAACAATAACATAAAAATATAAGAAAGGTAAAAGATGTCGAAGCTAGGATGATGTCGAAGCTAGGATTCACGACTAATATTCATAGTTTATTTTCTGATCAGTGGAACTATCTATTTCTTATACGGCCCTTTTTGACGCCTTTTGCGCGTGCTAGAGGCGTGCGCTTCTCACGCCTCATGGAAGTGTCTTTTGGTGATTCCCATTCCATGTCTTTTTGTGGAGCAGGAAAATGGCAAAGTCGTGCAAGGGATTAGCTGCGGAACTAGTGAAATGCCTCAGTGAATCTGACTGTGTCAAAGCATCTATCTGTCTATCCATTCATCTTCCTCTCATTCATTTTTCACGCAACTCTCTCTAATGCTATTGATTAATTCTTCTCTTATAGGTTCAGAATCGGCCCTACAGGGAATGTGCCAAGGAGAAGACCCCTTCCATTTCCACCGAGTGTGTTGGGCTGAGAGAGACCTACTTCAATTGCAAGAGAGGACAGGTTCCTCTCCCCTTCTCTCTTTCATCATCATCATCATGATTCTTCTTCTTCTTATTGTTGTTGTTATTGTTGTTGTTATCACGATCACCATCTCCATCACCATCACCATCACTATCACCATCACTTTCATTATTATACTTATAATTGTTATTATTATAATAATAATAATTATTATTATTATCAGGAGTAGTATTTCTTTCCTCCCGCAAAAAGAGAAGATTCAAATTGATATCTTCAAGAGGTTTTTTCTTAAATATTGCTTTTAAAAAATCATGGACAAAAATGCTACTCAGGAACTATTAGTGATTATAATTGTGTTTAAATTTATATTGTAGAGATTACATGTAAGTTACTACTATGTAAGCTTTGAGCAAAATTATAGTCACTAATAATTACCGAGTAATATTTTTGTCCACCACATTTTAAAGAGTAATATTAATGGAATTGTTTCTATCTTCGATGTGGTGTAAATATCATCAAAAAGATATTTAGCAGGCCTTTCCAAATTTATTTATATTTTAGAAAGAAAAAAGGAAAAAGTTATCCAGAACAGGTTTAGGGAATGTCAAACTTGTTAAAAGCGAAAAAAGCGACAAAGCGTAGACGAGCGATGAACCTGCGCCTGGCTTTTGAGAAGCGTCCTAGCATGAGAAAGCTGCACTTTTCCCTTTGCTTTTCTGGAGCTCGCTTTTTTGAAAAGCGACCGCTTTGCCCAGCTTCTCACAAAAAGCGGCTTTGACAAGTCATTTTTTTAAGTTTTAGTCCCTTGTCGCTACGCTATTAGGGTTATCAGGTTTAAGTTCGACTCTTTCCACACTCTCGCTGCGCTGAAGAAGTCGCGACCTGCGATTGAAGAAGCCAGTGAGTGAGCTACGGAAGTCTTCTCGTCTCTGTCGCCTGGTTCAGTCTGAAGAAGCCGCAGGTGAACTCCGCGTCTGAAGAAGCCGCAGTTCTATTTCATCTAGACTTTGTGAGCCACAATTCTATTTCATTCAGATTTCAGATTGTTCTCCAGACTTTTTCATTCAGATTGTTCTCCAGACTACTAGTATTTCATTAAGTTTACTCTGCTTTAGTTTGTGCCAAACTTCCGCAGCTCTCTGGTTTTTGTTTTTATTTTTGAAAGTCTTACTCTTACACAGTTTCTATAAGCTTTTAAAACAGCTTATATTATATAGATATTATTTAGTGAAAGAAATCATGATTTATCATTTTCCTGTTAGTAATTATAGTTTTAAACAGGTGAATTATATATCATAATGAAAGCATAGATAGCTAATGCATTTTGTTGAAGAAAGAAATCATTTTCTTGGTAGTAATTTTACCTATTATTCTATCAAGTATTAATGTAGTAAATTTTTTACGAAAATATCAATCTGTTTTCTTGATTAATTAAATTTTAGTTTATTCCAATTTATTCATTTCAGTTTATTGATTAATTAATTTTGAGTTTATTCCAGTTTATTCCTTTTACATTATTGATTAAATAATTTTTAGTTTATTACTTGATTTACTTCAGTCCAGTTTGTTCCTTTCCGTTTATTGATGAACTAATTTTTAGCTTATTCCAGTTTATTCCCCTAAGTAATATGGTCTTATGTGTGACTTTTCAAATGTAAATTGTACCGTCTTATAAGTCTCAATTGATCTTTTGTACACCTGTTTGATGTCTTGATTAAATATTTGTGAAGCATGTATACGTAGAATTGTAGACAATTATGTGATGGAGGTTTTTATCTTTATGCATTACCCTTATGACTTTTATGATTAGTTATGCGTTTTTGCGTAATTGTGTGATGAATGTTTTGAAACTTTATGCCGCACTAATATTATTCTTAATGACTTTTATGACTACTTATGAATTTGTGACATAATTATACATTATATATTATATTTTTTTATTATTTTTATAAGCATCGATTTTTGTGAGAAAGCTACGCTTTGCTTAGCGCTTTCGCTTTTAAGCAAAGCCCAAGGTCATCTCTTTCGGACGCTTTTCGCTTTAAAAAAGTTTGGGGAATGTTTATTTGGAAGCTATGTGACTGAATTTGGGATCATTAGAAGAACTATGAAATGGAATTAACTGGTTGGATTTGGTATGTATGCTTGGGATTACAAAGAAATGCAAATATTTGGTTGCAGAAAAGGATCCCAACTTATGATGGATGCGTATGTGACCAAACTAAGATTTTGAACAAAAGCATTACCCAGTGCCGCAAAGGCTCACACCTACGGTGGGATAAGAGGTCGGATGTATGTAGCCTCACCTTTGTACTAAAGCGCAGAGATATTGTTTTTGGATTATCCATGATGAAAATCGAGTTGAAATTTGTATGGACTGATTGCTGCTTCATAACAAAGAAGCGCAAACAATTTAGTGACGCGTTTTGCTTTATTTCATCATATTTCCAAGTCAAAAAATAGTGAGTCTTTGACTCTATTGGAAATTTTGGATCATGCGTCCTCTTTTAATTCACTCGTCTGTACTCTATAATGATGTCTAAAATGTTGCACATTGTTGTTACTGTTGTTAATTCCTATCTTGTTGTTGTAAATTGTGACGTCTTCTTGCATGTCAAATAACTATTTCATTAGGTTGACATGAGAGCTCGGATACGCGGAAACAAAGGTTATTGAGATGATATATACATAGTATAGATAAATACTTCCTTCATTGCTGCTCGCCATGTTGTACTTCATAGTGAGGGAGGGATGATGAGCAAAGAGGAATTGGAATACGCATTATCAAACTCTTTTTCTGGCCTGCAACTACTAATACTATAAGAGGAGGATTGATCATTTTGAATATTTTTTTCATGGTTCCAGTTTGACAATGTCAATTAAGTTGGGTTTAGTATTGATCATACCTTATTATTATTGTGTAGTCATTATCGGTTGCTAATAAGCCTTTTTACGTCTTTACTGGGCACACGTATGGATGGTCTCGGGCCGGGTGGCCCGACCCGGAACCGGCACTGTTCCAGCCCGGCCTGACCCGGTGGCCCGGTCAGTGACCGGTCTGGGTAGGCCCGACCCGTGGGTTTTCCGGTCCGGGCTCGGGTCACCCAAAACAAGGCCCGACCCGGCCGGGCCCGAGCCCGGTTCCGGCTAAAACTTTTTTTTCCATTTTTTTTTTAAATTTTCGGGTTGGGCTGGGTATTTTGGGCCATTTGGGGTGGTTTGGGGGGTTGGGGGTGGGTGGGGGGTTAATTAGGAAGAGGGAAAAAAAATTGATAATGGGCCCGGCCCGGACCCGGACCGGACCCGGTGGTTACCCGGGCCGGTCCCGGGTCCACCACTCCTGAACCACCGGCCCGCCCGGGCCTAGGCCCGATCCGGACCCGGCCCGGACCCGAGTCCACCCCTAGGCACACGTCTAAGAAGGTACCCTTTCACGATCATACATAGCATGTGCACTCCCTGCGCGAAGTTGTTTCTGTAAAAATTGCCCAAAATATACTGGTGCGCCAAGTAACAAAGTAAACTTTACTTTGTAGTTACTATTTATGCTAAGAAGAGATAAATAATTTTTATTCGTATATTTATCACTGTAATTGAATTTGTCAATGTTTTTTTAGATGGTTGAAAAGGAAAGTAGGCAAAATTGTCGGAGTTTGGACAATTGAACCTTTTCAAATTGTTTTTTTCAGAATTAAAAATATTTGTGCCACAAGAACAGACACAAAAAATAACAAGTCCTTGGACACGTGATCGATTATGAAGTACTACTTCTTCATCTGTTGTAGGGGTGGACTCGGGCTGGGCCAACCGGCCCGGAACCGGACCGGCCCGCTATTGTGCGGGCTCGGACCGGCCCAGTGAACTGGTTGGTTGGCCGGTTCGGGCCACCCGGCCCGGTGGGATCTCGGTTCGGGCTTGGGCCCTTCAAAAGGTGAACCAGCCCGGCCGGTTCGGGTCCGGGCCAGGCCAATTTTGTTTTTTTTTTTGAATATTTTTTAAGTTTTTGGGTTGGGCTGGGTATTTTGGGCCATTTGAGGTGGTTAGGGTTGGTTTGGGGGTGAGGGGGAGGGTTGAGGGTTAACTAGGAAAAGCCCAAAAAAAATAAAAAATAAAATAACCGAGGCCCGGCCCGGACCCGGGGGTTACCCGAGCCGGTTCTGGGCCTCCCATACCTTGAATTGAGGCCCGGCCGGTTCAAGGCCCGAACCGAGTCCATCCCTAATCTGTTGTATTCCATAACACGAACTGAATTGGAGGGGCCAATTCAAAAGTTGTTTCGAGTATTTTATTATTGTTGTAATTTTGGAATCAACCAAGAATTTGTTTTCAGAGTAAACGATTTGCGGCAGCATAGAGGTCAATGGCCTTTTGTCTTGAATATTACAAAAATAAGGATAAAAAACAAAAAATGACATCTTTTTTATATTTTCAAAAATATGACTAAAATGCAGTGAGTGAAGTATTTTCCCCTATTTCCCATTACACCGACTTCAATTTTAGTGACTAGAATTAGACTAACACATAGTCGTCAATCCCCAATTAAGACTTCCACCGCTGCGCCCCAATTAGGACTTCCGCCGTCGCGCCCCAATTAGGACTTCGTCGCCGCCACAATTATTGAATACCGCCGCCCCAATAGTGAATGTCACCGCCTAGAATGCCACCACTGCCGCCTTGATTAAGACTTCCGCCGTCGCTCGAATCAGTGACTGTCATTGCAATGACTGCCGCTGCCCCGGCCAGTGACTGTCGCCCCCCGACCATTGATTGTCGCCACCCACCGGTCAGTGATTGCCGCCTCCCCTACCCCCACACCTGCACTCAGCCCCGCACACTCGACAACCGTCGGCCAGTGACTGCCGCCTCCCCAATCCCTACACCTACACTCAGCCTTGCGCACCCGGCGACCGCCTACCGCCGGCCTTGACAGCCGCCGCCCAAACAGTGACCACATCAGCCCCTCCACAGTCGCTGCCAAACACCACACCCTGCCCCAGCCTGTGACAACCGACCCATCACCAAGCCACCGCTACCTATCACACGAGGCAACCGTAGTCACCCACATCGAATCTCAAACCCTAGTTGAACCGTACGATCGCCGCTTTCACCTGGACCCGTCACGTATGTCGCAAAACAGATCCAACCACTCCACAACCATGCCATCCAGAATCCGAACCTGGTTGATGGAGACGAAACACCCTAACGATGGCTTGGAGACGAACGGATCCGGGCGATGGTGGTGAGTGGCGAGGCGAGAGCTGCGATGCGGCGGAGATGGCCTGGTGATGGTGATGACACGATGGAGAAGTCAATGGAGACAAATCTGGTCGATGGAGAAGTCAATGGAGGTAGATCTGGCCAATGGAGAAGTTGATGGAGCTGAGATCTAGCGATGGAGGAACAGAGGAGAGAAGAGGAGTCGCGAATCTGCAATCGTTGCAAAGCCAAAAGCATATGCGATCACCTTTTTGTCCATTTTAAAACATGATGATATTTTTGTCCATCCAAAAGTCAAAAGTCATATTCGTGCCATTCTTTCTAAAAACATTTGGTAGTTTGTACGGAAATTACTCCAAACAGGAGTAAAACAATGGCAAAAATCCAATGTGAACTCTCGAGCCCATTACAAAATTGCACCTTGAACTGTTGTTTGCTTTCTCAAAGTGGATGCCCCCAGACAGCTTGGGTGAACCACAATAGACCCATCCAAAAGAGGAAGACGAATTGGTGTCTGACTTAAACCGCCTTCATGCCACATGCTCTCATTTCATGCATTTGGCATTTCTCTTTTTAATTATTGAAACGCAAAACTTTTTCACTTCTGGCGATCCATGCAATTATTGGACAATTCCCGCTATTGATCTCTAATTCCTTCTTTTTTAAATCTTAGCCCTCGTAAAAGGACTTATTGACAACTTTAATCCTTCAAATCCTTTCTGGTCACTTTCCGGGCGAAACTAAACCAACAAATTGTCATATAAGTGCTTGGAAGGACCAAAGGCGGCAAGAAATCCACAGTCGTGCACCCAAAGTAAAAAACCGGAAGTGAATGGCCAAATGTGAGAATGAGTTGACAGTGATGGATCAAATGTTAACAATTCTACAAAAAATCTAAAATAGGAGGCATATTTTACATGAAACACCAATACACCATCATATTTTAGTTTCAAGCACACCCCAAATACCCCCACATGTTTTATGTTTTGCATGAAACGCCATCATATTTTTAGATTTGACGACATCCGATATACACCTTGCATTTTTATTTCGTAGTTTAACTTCATTTTCATTGTTGTGATTTTCATGTGCAGTGTTGTTTGGTTTTTATTCCTTACTACGTATTAGTTAAACAATTGTCAATTTCATTGTTGCACTCACTTATACCTCATCCTTGTGGTTCGACAATCCCTTACGCCTATCAATATATGTTTCATCCCCGCGCTCACAATTACATACTCCTCCGTCTTGAAAAGAAGTTCCACCTTTCCTTTTTGGAATGTCCCAAAATAAAGTTTCATTTTCAATTTCTTTCTATATTTGGTAAGATTTTATTATTCATTTACCCTTTTACCTTCACATCACTTCATTGAATTGATGTGTGTTACCCCATTTCACTATTCATTACCCCCTTTATTATACTCACTTGGTTACTACACCTTTTAATTACCCAAGGGCAATTTTGAAAAATCAACTTTATTTCTTATTTTACCTAAAAACCCGTGAAGTCAAATTCGGAACTTGTTTTCGGGATGGAGGGAGTATTGTTTATTTATAAAAATGACAACGCGGTGCACTACAATGGTATATAAGAGGCAAGCCTTCTCCTGTCAAACTTTTGACAAAAATCGCTCTCAAGACTTGAACCCGTTACCTCTCGATCACACAGCAACATCTTAACAGGTGTGCCAAGACTCCTTTTCCAAATTTTATTAATTCATATTTTTTTTATTGATACACGACTTTGCACACGACCACCTATATCTATCATACTTGTATTATAGGACGGCGTTAGTGATTGATTTAAATTGCCATTTGTTTTTAGCTTGTTGCATGTGCTTTATTTGTGTGTTTTTCTTTTATTTTCACCATGCTTACTTAAATATTTATAACCTAAATATTGAAGACCCAATTAGGATATTCTTCAAAAAATGCTCAATGGACGATCTTTTTACACCTCAATACAGGGTTACATAAGAAGAAATTACCAACACCAGTTTCAATTCAAACTCAGAAGATGGAAACAATTTTGTTTCAAGGATTTAGGGTGATATATTTAAGATTAAAAAAACACACATGTAAAGAGGTAAAATTGGTCTAAATATTTAACAGAACATAATAAATGTACCTGCAAAAAATGCATTCGCCAACAATTGCGTCAAATTCTAATACAAAAATTAAAAACTTGAACATACTAAAAACCCTAAATCTCAAAGCAATTAGTTTCATTATATAAAATGTAAACCAGAAGATTAATTAGATAAGAAAGGAACACATACCCGATATGACGATATCTAGCGCCTGAGAAGATCCAAATATCTGTCAAGTTTCAAAATTCGCAATTACAGACAGCCGTTGAAACCTGGTAATCGGGTTTCTCATAGAGACGATGAGCGCCGCTGCGCGCACGAACCAGTTCGTGTAACAGTTCTTTTGAAGGGTGTAGTAGTTGCGGTGGAGGAGTCCGACTAATTTCCGTAGAGAAAGGATTTGCTGTAAGACTACTTTTGAGGTCAATTGATTTACAGAAAAAGAAAACGGAGAAAAGGGAAAGAGACGTAAAGTGGTAAAGGAGGAGAGCCGAGAAGGGTTGGGTCCTGAAGAGCAGCAGCGGAAGATGAAGGATCGGATACTCCTGCGTGTGAAGGTTATTAGGGTTAAAATTTATTAAATAAACCCCATTTCAAAAAAAATATTTCAAAAAATTATGAATATGACCCTGTTTTTTCATCTTGAGTGT